CTGAAACACGTATAAAACTAATCAATCTTGTAGGTATTAAAAAAATATGGTATCAATAGAATTTTTACACTAATATAAGTTAAAGAGGATTCGCTGTCGAAGTGAATTCGGACCCCTGAGTGAGCGCGTTAAGAATTTATATGGAGATTTGTAGTTCTTGGTAGTTACCGCTAGGGGCGCTGTACCGGATTCCACACTAAAATCTTAACGCGCTCACGATCGACAGTGAACGTGAAAGTAAAAAAAAACGTACACTAGCGCTCTGAGTGAATAAGAATTCGGGTTAGATTTTTATGGAATACGGAATCGCTACGATTGACTAAAATTATTTGGGGGCCATTTAAAAATGAACTTCTGCGCAGGCATATCGGTGTAATTATAAAAACGGCAATACTGTACGTACATTAATAATAAACATTGTTAACTAAACGACAAGATTCAAAATACTATGAATGTCTAACAATAGCAACTAGTAAGTGTGCTGAATTCAGTCAATAAAAATAAATTAAGCACATCATTAAGTTCGAGAAAAAACAATACTAACAAAGAAAAAAACGAATCTTAAGCTAATGTCATATTAACTAAATAAATAAAAGTTAAAAATTAAACTAGGTATTTATTATTTAATTCAGGGACACATTTAATCACTAATTTAATTATGTTCGATTCTGTATTATCTTAATAATGTTTAATATACAGCATATCCTACCTCAGTACAGATAGAAAAAATACTTGAAATGAGATTATGATAATAAACATCGTCACCCACACTTGAAAATAAACTCTATTCTCGCATCAATAAAATGCGTTTTTATTCTGCAAACATAATGTGCTTTAATGTTTGCAATATTTCAACCTATCGTTTTAGCAAGACAATGCCACCACGTAGGGCTGGCGTTCAAACATTAGCCAAATTATTCAGGATTGCTCTCTCCTATCTTAGACGAATCGTATACGCATCTTTCTATCGCCGGACTGCAGCACATGTAGTAAACGGTTATTTATAAACGTTAAATATCATTCACAAAGTAGTAAGCAAAGAGTAAAGTAATGGGGAGCATACTTTGAATTCAATATTTTTTGAAGTTATCATTCTAAAGGCTATAATTTTATCTAATAATACATCATTGCTGCATATGTCGATGATCCTTATATCATCAGGAGGGAAATTTTTAAATTACGACAGGCAAAATATTTGAAAAAAAAAAAGAATTACTACATGTAATGGTGTTGCCATCTACACATGAAGGGAGATACATACAATAAATAGCACTATCCCACTTACAAACAAGATGTAAAACCACTTTTAGCGCTCATTTTCCATTACACTTTAACATGAGAAAGGATATACTGTATTACTTAAATTATTATAAGCTATATCAGAATCGATTCCAATGTCATTTTGAAATCAGCTATTCTAATATAATACAAAAAACGTAAACTATATTAAGCGTGGACATCAAATATATACTAATGATAGAAAAACAAAATGGCAGCATCGTCACTCGGAATGAAATGACCACATCAAGTTGGATTAATTTCACAAACGAGACCCTATTACTATTGGAACACTTGTTAAGTAGTAACATTTCGGCAATATTTAAAAGCACCATGGTTTGTTTTATTTTGAAAAATATTCTCTTTAACAAATCCACTGGTCATAATTAATAATAAGTGTAATAGACTGACTACGTTCATAGCACTGAATTATATTATTATTAAACGAGATAGCTTCTTGCGCACGAATTCTTCAAGCTATCTCGCTCTTAAAGACAATCCTTCCACTTATAAAGACCGATGGTACTAAAATAGCAGTGTTAGTAGTTTGCTTCTTTTCCAAAAGCCTAATTATTAAATATAACCAGTGAATTAATGTTACACAACTATATTACATTGATATATGCATAATAGTCATTTATTTCATATCTTACGCTTTACGAATCAGTTTTATATCAACATTTGGATTGTATTGTATGTAAATTGTCTTCAATATAGTAACACTACATAATGTTGCCGCATTAAAAACGCAGTTATAATAATATAAATACGTATACATATAATAGACAGTACAAAGACACCCATTAATGTTACAATAGGCACGCTACATATTTTTGGTTATACTCAATGCAACATTTGTAAAATATTTAAATACAATTAATTTTATATAAATTGAAAGCGAATATCATTGATGTATGTATATAATTCGATTACAAACAGTGACACTCACAATAGGTTAGTTGCTATGGTAAAGTAAATGCATATTTTATTGAAATAGTTTGGTGTAAACTTCATTTAATCTAAAGCTTTATATATATTCAAAAAAGGAACAACATATTTTATCTTTGGTTCTTTAATTAATTTTATTTTAATTACGTTATTTACTCAGCTAGTTAAGTTGTTAGTTAAAAACTCATGATATTAAATTTTTTATGGTGTAAAAGAAAGTGAAAATTATGAGTGTATAGTTACCATTGTATAAGTATTATGTACACTATACATGTTATAGTGTAGTTAAGTACGTGTATATTTATAGTGATACGGAAGTTTGTGCAAAAATTTATCATGATGTATTTTCTCCAAACTATACTAAAGATATGATGGCTCTAGAACAAAGGATGAAAACCTTATGACAGAAGAGTTAAAAACTACAATTTACTAAATTCAGTTTTTAAAGAGCCACTGAAAGATATCGTTTCAATATTATTCATATTCTATTTGAAATTTTACGTAAAACAAATGACTGGTTTAATTTGCTATACTTAGGTAGGTTTACATCAATAATGTATCAATATATTATGTATCAACAATTCTACATATATAATAATAAGCAGACCACCGGTTAAGAACCAATGATTTAAAAGATTTTGACATTAACATAATTGTGATAAAAGGAATTTGAGAGCCCCAACTTTACATCAACACACCCATTGCAGGTTGCAGACACCTGCTCAGGGATATCGTCTATTTTAAGACTGATTAAAAAAGAAAAGCTAGATACAAAACAAATAGTATTTGAAGCGTCTACTGGCATATAGAAACGTATGCATTGTTTTAGAAATTTGAAACGTAATATTAATTTAAGGTGAATTATAACCTTAACGATATAATCCCTACCTGTTTTATTATTGTACTTTTTATAGAGTAAGCCTATAAGTGAAATAGTGTTGATGATGCGTTTAAACACAGATCATGGTGTTTTTGATGCGGTGTATTTTGGGTTTATATAATCAAAGCTATAAAACTCGAAAGGAGGTCACAATATTCGATTATGCGGACCCGCTATTAAATATAACGTTGAGTGTAAACAAAAAAAGGTTTGAATTGATTTATATCATGGCTAGAACTAAACTTAATTGTATATTAGTTTCGACTAGATTTATATTTACAACCGCGTTGTTGTCACAAAATCGACTACTTTTAGACCAGAACTTCATAAACAAAAAAAAAAAAAAAATTATAAAATTAAATTCATTTGTAATAATCACAATAAATAAGTACTCTATATTCCATCAATACAAAAATTTTAAATTCATATAATTTACAATATAATAAATATATAAAAAGATTCAAATTATTTAATTAATCAATTTCCTATCGGAAATGTTCTAAAAACGCTTTAATCCATAGCAACATACCTTTGCATATTTGAACAAAAATTGCGATTAAACGTTACAATTTTCTACTTTTTCCGACATATCACAGGGATGGTTTTTATTTACACAACGACAACGTAAATTAAGATATTAGAAAAAGAATCTTTCATTAAATAATGTCCAATCTGAAATTTTGTAAGTGATAAGATAACTAAGAAATTTTGAAATTTTTAATCCTTCATGAGACAATTATCTATTAAACACAATTACAAACTCAAAAGTTATAAATCGATTAATTGCAATTTTCGAACACTCGATTTATAAATCAATAGTAAATGTAGGACTACAAGTATTAAGTTAAACGCTTATTAAGACAACTAGACACGCATTCCTACAGATGTTCTAGGAGATCAATTAATGTTCGATGTGTTTATTATGATAAGTTAATTAGGGGTTTCCCCCTTTACGTTACTGAAAATCCTCGCACGCATACTACTTTTTAATTATTTCATTATAAGTAAACAAATATTAATTCAAGCTCAATTTTTATTTTACACTTTTAAAAGATCAAATTTATTTATTATGAATATCGGATTTTGGCGAACCTTGCTCAATGTACCATGAAAACCTTTGATTAAAACGAAAAGGGAAGATACGGCCCAAGCGCATTTTTAATGTAAACTAAATTTAGGTGTACATAATTTCGCATTTTACATAAGAATAAATCTCATTTGTGCGGCGTGTTGCTACGCGCACGCCTGTAACGATCATAAGTTCTTGTCTCGCTCATGCTAGTGTTGAAATTCATTGCTGTCTCACTCGCCCGATTGACATGCTACCGATAACGTGAGTTCCTGTCTCGCTCACGCTATAGTTGAAACTTATAGCTGTATCTTGCTTACTCGTGTAAATTTGTTAGTGAATTTACTTATATAATTTACCAGTGCCATGTTTTGGTCAATGAAACTATGAGTATGCCGTATCTTCCGTTTTTGTTTTAATCAAAGATGAAAATATATTTGTATTATGGTAAAAGCAATTTATTTATTTAATCAATTTACTTATTATGTCAAATAATAATGTCAACAGACAGTATATTTTAATAATGGAATTATTAGAACATGATTTCATAACTTCTAAATTTCTGTCATTAAAAATAATATCTCTTATTATATTTTGTTTAAATTAAAATAAAATACATACAAATATCGCATTTGGATCAATTATAGCAAACATAAATTTCTGAACACTTATCGTCGTATCACATAAAAACCGTAATAAGTGCCATGCTAAATAATATACCGTTCCGATACCAACCAACACCGGAGCGTGCCATGCACGGAGCATTCAGCATTGTCGAAGCGTAGTATTAAATAAATATCGGCACACTCCTGTGCAGAAGGAAAGTTTGTTAATGTGTACTTTGGTTGGCACGGTGTAATGGAAAAATTAAAGTTTGCTTTTGACATTGATTACATGATTTAATGAAGATGTGTAGATATGAGAGGTATATCTGTAGTAATGCGTGCTCACGTTAAGTGGAGTGGTTATAGTCACTCGTCGTCAGCTGGTTCAGTGCCGAAGTATCTGTCGCCAAAGTTGCCGATACCCGGCAATACGTAGAACTTCTCGTTGATTTCGGGGTCTAAGGCGGATGTTATTATTTTTACCTGAACATACAAATTATATATTGAAGTAACTGTCGGAGTTTTACTTGAACTATTTCTTATCGAAAACCTTTATATTTTTCTTTAACAGTTTTTATAATACAACAAAGAACACATCGAGTGCCCACATTAAAATAAAACTACATTTTATAATAATAATAAAAAATAATCTTTAACAGTGTTTCTCAAACATTGTTCTACTTTGACCAGGTAATTTTCACACTGGCCCTTTGTGACCCATTTAATACTTTTATAATTATATTATGATTGCTATAGTTAAGAATACTAAATACTTTGGTATTGCCTATTTAGCCACAAAATTTTAGAGCAAAACTTGAAGGCTTCTGCTTCTTTAAAGAAAATGATGAAAGAGTTAACCTAAGGTCTCGTTCCACACACGGCGAGAATGTTGCGACCCCATACCAGGTCGCGAACCGGCAAATGAGACACTGGCCTAATTAGCTAATTTAAAAATTTATCACAATCACTTCGAATCTGACATTTGAAAGATATTCACGAACTTCACGCTACAAATATTTGACATGTAATAGTAATCGCACACTCAATTTTTTCTAAAAAATATTGAATTAACGATAATGTTTATTTGATAACTTCAAATAAACATTATCGTTAATTCAATCGGAATTGTCTAAATTAATTGTCTATGACATCCTAAAGCGATTTTGACTTTAAAAATTACAATGCCATAAATCACTATTACAACCGCTGTAAGTTTTAAAAAGAGATAGTGATATATTTAAAAATTAGAAAATACAGGTGTAGACGGTAAGCAAAAATAAATCCAGTTTTTTTTTCTGGTAGTGTTTAAAGTACTATTACCGATAAACACACTTTTATGCTTATTATATTTATAATATTGCTTAATTATAAAAAATCAAACATTTTGATCAAACGTGACCGCAAACAGCGCGTGATGTCACGCCCCTTTTACCCATATCAGAACTTAGAGAAATCAACCTTATGCATACATAGAACGATATTAGTTTTATAGGGGCGTGACGTCATAGCAAAGTCATGGCAGAAGTGGCGATTTCGCGGGAGATTTAAAAAATTAAATTTATTTTTAGATTTTGACTTAACACTTTTGAATGACACTTTTTTCAAATATTATATCTAGACATATTTCATGTATATCTATAGATTTAAAAAAAAAGTTGTCTACACCCGTATCAGGCCATTGATTTAAAATAGTTTAGTGATGGTTACCTTGGGGAAGGCGTACGCTATAGAGTGTACTCCTATCTCGGCCATGAGTAAGGATACTAGACTGATATTATCCTCGGGCACGTCATGATCTAGCAACACCCGTATCGCCATTATTGCGGCGGCTCCGGTAGCGACGGTCGCGTCCATCAATATCACTCGGTAATCCTTTATGTCCTTTGGCAGCCGCAAATAGTATAACTGTACAACACGAAATTTGTTCAATTATCGATAGGTACAATAGTAATAGATTTAAATTTCACATTTTCGAATTTTGAGCGGATTTAATAAAAACAATTGCTAAGTTGGTCTGTGTCATAACGTCAGTTACAAAAATAACGCTAGTTAACTTGAAATTTGTTTATGAAGTTAATGGCGTTTTGGTTCACTTGTAAAAAAATTACAGTTTTGAATGAAAATAACATAACAAAAGTAAGTTATTGCCTTATATCCCTACAACACCATGTATCGATATTTTTCTATTATTTATTATGCAAATTTTAAACTCTGCAAACATACAAATGCAAGATACCATGATTGGTAAATTATACAAAGAAATATGTAAATGTATTTACAATATTATATTAAATATTTTTTTTATAGAAAATCCCGAAAAACTTTGACTCTTAATTATATTAAACATAGATATAAAAATATATTACATAATAAAAATATACTATGTAGACAATTTGCGGTGATGAAAAAAGAGAAAATTTGGATTTGGATTAATAATATTAGAAGCTTATCAAATATTAGCACAGTTGATTTGGAAGTGAAGACTCAAATACAATAATGAACCGTATAACAATAAAGATGAAGCTCACCTCTGGCTCATCGGTCTGCTGGTTTGTCTGTATGAGTATCTTGCCGATGCGTATATCTTTACAAACGTCGCAGACTGCCTGTTCCATAGTTTCACCCGCTCGCAGTATAGATACGCCACATATCTTCTCTACGTCACATTTACGACCTTAACATTAACAAAATAAGGATTTGTCAATTTCTCTGACGTGAATCCAAATTTTTACTTATAGACGACTTACGTATGACGTCATTTATTAGCCAGACGAAGACTAAATCGCTTCATACAATAATTATAAAATAGTGATGAGGTGCAATGCTCAAAGAATAGAGCCTGCATTATGCATACAAAGTTTCTTCACCAACTAGTGTTGTCAACCCTAGCTTTAAAGAGTGGAAGATGTTTTGGTAGACTTTTGGTGTATTCCGAAAATTAGTGTACCTAACTTAGTTATGTCGTTATATGCTATACTAATAATTCTAATACTAACAATATACTAGTTCTAAATATATCTAAAATTAAAGACGAAATAAAAACAATAAATTACCTTTGTAAGTGAATCCCTGTGGCGTGTCGACAGAATGATCGGAGTAAGGCAACAGTGAGAGTGCGAATTCTATGACGAGTCGCATCAAACGTTTAGAGTAGAATATGAACTCGTCCCGAGCAGTGTCCTTGTTGCGAATGAACGTGTGGAGACCTTGCACCTGTTGTATTATACATTTTATTAACTTCCATTGAGAGAAGCTCAATGGCACGGCGGTTAGCGCGTTCGGAAGTTGAGCAACTTCGCAAGGGTCGGTCATAGGATGGGTGACCAATAATGTATTATTTCGAGCGCCTCCCTGCTTCGGAGTGTACGTTAAGCGTTCATCCGCACTGGGCTGGCGTGGTAAGTGATAAGTTTTCAAGACGTCGTCTGACGGTCATAGTTTCGATTCTCGGTCGGGTCAATATTTATATTTTCTGTATACTTTTCTATATTGTCTCGGGCCTGGGTGTTGTGGTACCTTCGTTATCTCAAATACTGTATAACACCTTCGTACTATTTCCTCCTTAGCTACTCAATTTGAAATCTAAGCAATATATGTGATGTTGTCTAATATCTTACTCTTTGTTAATTAAATCCTGCGTCCTATCAAATTTAAAGTTAATGAGTTGGACATAGGAATCATTCAGAGTATACTGAGTAACCCTATTTCGGATATCACCCTGTGCCTATGTAGTTTGGTAGAGCAATGCCTTCTCAAATCTACTCAGATAGAAAACTAAATAGTATGTAAGTATTTTTTTTTTGTATCGATGGGGCTGTCGTGTTTTAAAGACAAAAGACCCAAAAAAAATTATAAGATAATAATAAAAAAAAATTCTGCGTCCCAGCAATGGGAACAGTAACGGGCTGATTATAAGAATCATCAATACATTAAATAATTACGTATTTTATTTTACCCAAAATATTGTATTTCTTCTGAATCAAATATATTTATCTGTCCTAATATTCTACTCAATGATATGTCCACACAAATTTGTTAATTATTATTGTAGTTAATCGTGGAAACCTTTGATTGGTCATCTGTAATTTATTTGAATGTTTACATATAAGTATCGTATGCTGTTGGTGTTCCGGAATATATATAAATAAATTAAACAAATTAGGAGCAGTAGTACTAGGAGGTCTATGTACCTGTGGCGTGTCCTTAAGCACGTACAGTGAGTCAGGAACAGGTTGGCCCACATGTGCAACTGCTAGTTTCTCGCGAACCTTGAACCCACGCTATAAAAACACATATGGACATACAATTATTTACTTGTATTTAATAAACTTTCCATTAAATTGCTATATTTTGTCTATCAGAAGATCCGGCTTGAAGGACAATAAAATATGAAACGTAGATATTCTAATTTTGAGTTATAAAAAAGCCTGATTATGTAGTGAGATCGTTAGATGGCACAGTTTTCTGTTCAATTCACATCTTGTAATTTAAAAAAAATATTTATATTATGCGTATGTTTTGTGTTGTCTAAATTACGTCATGAATGTGGCAGCGCTTTCCGCTAAAAAAAAGTTTAAATTTCGGTTGAATTTAAGGCAAGAAGACGGACGTGTTTATTAATCCAAAATATTCTTAGAGCTTATTTAAATTCAAATAAAACATTCTCAAGTACTATTTCAAACAAAGTAGAATACCCTATTTGTTATTACCAGTGGTCGGAATTAGGTAGAGTTATTCATGTACTTACACTGATTTCATACAGCGAAAGAATAAAGTGGATATGCCTAAAATCCCGAGATTAATTTTAAAGAGCAGAAAAAATCCCGTGATTTTTTAAATAAAAAGTTATTTACTTTTACACAATTTAAACTACTGCTCGCACGACGATGCGAAACTTACATCAATGAAAGAAAGAAATAAAGAAATCCCGGGAAGGTCCACATTCATATCAACATTTCGATGCAAGTACATAAATAACTCTACCTAATTCCGACCTCTGGTTATTACTAACGTTAAGAAGTTTGAAACGTCCAAGTATAATGGACACTATTTTTATCTCGGGATCCGGGATTGTTACTTTAGACACTAATACTCACCAGTGGCGGTGGCTAATATCAAATTTTCACAATATCGATATTCAATATCGGATTCTGAAACTACATATTCTTTGAAACTATGTATTATTTGAAACTATATATATGTAAATCAATCTGTATTCGGTAACCTCAAGTCATTGCTGATTTAGCATTGGAAAATAAACTAACGTGGGGTTAACTAACATGCTTATTCACAAGCAATGAATTTGTACGATTTGAACAATTTGTATCATCTCCTACTCACCAGTTGCAACTGTTTGTGAACGTGTTGAACAATCAGATGTATGGCCACCTTATTCTCTCCACCTCTAGGTACAATGATATCAGCGTGCGCCATACACGGAGCTATATAGTTCTGGTAGGCTGGCTTCACGTACGTCATGTATTGCTTCAAAACTCCTTCTAGGTCACGACCACGTTGCACTATGTCCCTTTAATATAATAATAGATTTTTTTTAACTTCTTTGAAAATTGCCAATAAACTTAAATTTAGATATATTTATTTACACATGAAAAAGATATTTTTTTTGTTCCTAGGGTTGCCAGGCGTCCGAATAAAGCCGGATATAATCAGGATTTTTGATTGCGTGTCCAGTCAAAATAAACAGTACCCGGTTTGTTAAATCATATTAATTTCGCAAGTCGCTCGAAATAAAGTACTTAGACTGATTTTCCAATCGACTTTATTTATATTTCATTATAAATTATCTGAAAAGCTTGGGCTTTACTCAAAATTTTTAAACGACTCTAAAAAAAGGAGGTTCTCAATTTTACCTGTATGTATGTATGTATGTTTGTGCGCGATTATCTCGCGATTGGCTTAACCAATTTTGATGCGGATTTCACCATAGTATTTTTCAGATTTAGGAGAAAGTTTTAGGTATATTAATCAACTGTAAAAATGGAGGTCCCCACTTTATCACGGTATTGACGCGTTTTTCAAAAAGTATTTATAGTGTTACTTATTATATAAAAATATCAATATCACAAAAAAGCATGAATTAAAAAAAAAATTCAAAACTTAAAAAAAGGGAAAATATTACTTATCTCCAGAGCGACTAATTCGACTTATTAAAGCACCTATCATTTAATTTAATAACCTACAGAAAACCTCCGCCAGAGTTTATTATTCACTTTCTTTTAAGTTTGAAGTCGGATCTATTTTTTTTAAGTTTTTATTTTTATACTAAGACACAAAATGTCGACAATGTATGATGCCCAGCCTTTTTATTAAAAAGTTCGGTCAAACAGGCAGCTCTGTCCGACTATAAAGTTTGTCGATCTGGCAATCCTATATAGGCCTAGGTAAATACTGCATCTATCATCATCATGGATCTGGCTCACGCATACCATTTTATCATAAAACGCGGATTGAATTAGTGATTAATTTAAACAATTGGTTGCTCAAAGCAAATTGACAATGACCAAAGCGAAAACATCAAGTTGATACATGTTGACTTATTCATATAATGGTTTCCAGGGACTAACGTGGTCTTCGTTTTATAATAGGAAATTTAAGGATAATCAGATAATTGCTGTACTTTCTTATGTGATTCATGTACAATAACGTTCAAAATAGAATGTCAAATCAGTCTTCAAGACCTTTTGTATTATAACTTAGCTTAGTGCGCTAAAATCAATTCATAGTCATTATCAGCCCTTTTACGTGCCCACTGCAGGCTTTCAGGCCCCCCTTATGGATGGCTAAGGAGGACGGGATGGGATCAATGTCTTAACGAGGTAACCATTTTTGGTCACCCATCCCGTGACCGATCCTTCCGAAAGGTGTTTAACAACAACGATCGCGTACCGCGGCGCTAATCCACTACGCCATCGAGCTACAAACATAAAAACAATTAACTCCAAAGTAATTAAAAAAAAACACACGAAGCTAAAGACAAGTCTTGGTGTGAATTATTTTTTAAAGTAATCTTGTCACTTATCCCTCTTCCTCACTTTATGCGTGTGGCGAATATTCACTCCATTACTGTAACAGTACATTTTGATGTCCCGGAGTTATCTTTGAGGGCTACGGGAAAAACGGGACATCTGGTTACGTTATGTATAACTAACCTGCGCAGTCTCCTGGCCAATCGTATATCAGCGTCTGTGTCGACAAACACTTTCATATCGAGCATCTTCAGCACCTCCGCGTTGTAGAACGCCAGGATGCCCTCGAATATTATCACGTTGGCGCCGTACATCGTTTTCTAACGACAAAACATATACATCATTCTTATGCTATATTCTTCTTATGCACAGCTATTATTTTGGATCTAAGAGTATCGATTTTTAAACTTATTCCCAAAATTGTCAGTTTCACCCACCCCCCTATTAGTGAAATCATTGACCGGACTAGTATTAATTTTCTATTAAATCAAGCATTAAAATATCGACATCGATTAACCACGAAATTTAAAACAACACATTTATAGAATATAAGTAATTATAATTCAGCAGTTATACAAGTGCATTCGGAACAGTTAGAATCGATTTAGTGAACGATTTCTCAAAAACGAATCGATACGAATAGTTAGCTGTCATCATGTCATGCTCGTCAAATTGTCATGTTGAACAATGACGTCAGAGATTAAAAAGCCGCGTTTTTGAGTTTTATTCAAATATTATTGTTGAATCATTTTTAATATGTATTAAAGTTGGAAAAAAGAAATGAATATGTAAATTGTATGCGTATTAACTCAATAATATATTGTCCTGGATTATCGATTAAAGCACATGTCCAATATTATAATATTTCGTAATCCCTTTCAATATCAAAGATATTCGCAAACTTGACATGTGATAGCTATTGGGAACGCAGCATTTTTTTGAAAGATTAACGATATCGTTAATTTAACTTGGGACTCGTTAATTGGAGTTGTTCAAGGCAACCGTTAGACGCAAATATCTTTTAAATCTATTCAAAAATGTTAAACGAAACGCTATCTGCAATCTTTAGATCATTTTTCTTGATCACTCAAATAACCATTCATTCCAAATGCAATTGCGACTTTAAAAGTTAAAATTCCATAAATCAAAATCATACATCGGTGTCACAATCGCTGTACCTTTAAATACATTTAAATTTATACATACGGTGCGGTTCTCCCTGGAGTGAGTGACATAGTTGTATATGGGCACCTCCACCTTCTTGCCCTCCCTAAGTCGCTGTAGCACCTGCACGAGCAGCTCCATGTCGAACGCGTCCGGGTGATCGAAGTTGTATTCGTTGCGGATGGACAGCTGATGCTGCTTCTCGTTCAGTACCTTAACGATACCATTTTGTATTAAGACATTTTTATATAACTTTTACATGAAAACAACCATTATATTTTGTTTTTGCATAAAGTATAACATACTACATTAGTACATTAGAATAACTCATTCTTTCGAATTAAGAATGACATGTAAAGTCAAGAGGACGTCAGATTGATAATCAAAAAATATCAAACTTATCTGTTGACAGCAAAGTTCAAAATCGCTCGCGGATTTTTTTTATGTTGTAGTAACCTGTCAGATATTATGTTTAAATTATATTGTCGAGGCTTTCAACCTTATGACTGTAAATTAATATACAATATATTTAGACAAAATCCAACTGCTCCAAGTAATATCTTAGCAGGAAATTAAATATAGTCTGATTATTAAAGAATATGTAGGAATTAACTGTGACGTTGATTATTTACTTTATAAAAGGAGTCCATGCTGACTATTGTGACCCATGGTATGTTGAGGGCTTCAATTATTTTGGCCGCCACTGTTGTCTTGCCGGATGCGCTCGCGCCACATATACCTTCAAACAAAAACAACCTGAAAATCAATTTATTGTTACTGATCCAGCATTACAATCCGTTATCATCATAATTCAATGTGATTTAAAACCCACATATCACCAAATATTTAAATCATATTTGTTAATGATTATGTTTTAGTCGTATATTATTTTGTAGGTAGAGTAATAATTTATCTATGATTTAGAATATCTGTTTTTTACTAAAACTTCCATAGAATTCATAAATATTTCAATTGAATAGGTTTTATTACATTTTTTCTGTCTATAAATTTTTACTATTCTATATCGTTATTATTTCTTCATCGATCAGGTGATAGAATTGCAAATTGTTTTAGCGTGAATCCGTTCACTTTTAAATTAACATTCAACAAAGAGAAAAGGTCACAGGAAGTATTGTTAGTCTACGATCGCAAGGTCTGCCACTTTTTACTACACAAATGAACTGTCGACCTTTGCCGAATGTGAGCTAGTGGCTTTTAATGTCTGTATATTAAATGTTTATACCAATATTTAAACTAGTTACATAGGTGTAACGCAGCTCATATCCTATATAGCCTTGGCAAAGAGAAAAGGAAGATAATTGATAATATAAATTTATCTCAGTAATGAGATTTTTTTTATCTTTCTCCTGTGTAACATATACTCCCTGTAACTTCATTATCCTATTAATGTCTCCAGGCCGGAGCACATACCTTCTCTATGGATAGAATCGAATAAGGATAAACTAAATATTTAAACAATAAATCGCTACTGGAATAGATCGAGAGAAATAATGGAGAAGCTATTATCTTGATATGTAGTTTTATCTTGCTTTTAGCTTTTATCTTGATATGTAGCTTTGCATATGCTTATGTTACTTATGCTACGTAGCTATCAGCTAAGGGCAGTGCAGATTGTACACATTATCAGCCCTTTTACATCTCCATTGCAGGGGTTCAGGCCTTCGTTATGGGTGGTTAAGGTGGGCGGGTCATGACCCTTCACACTGGCTACAAATGCAGCCGGGACCTTCGAAAAAGCACGGAGTAGCTCGAGCAGATATTTTTTTGGTCACCATCCCGTGACCGACTATTACGAAAGTTGCCTAACAAACAAAATCGCGGGCCGCGGCACTTATCCATTTGAATACACACGAGATTGTACACACCGATAAGAAAAGGCTCGACTTCCTGTCCACCGGTGCAGTTGTACCAGGGCGGGCGGCCGGCCGTGTATATCGTCCTCCTGTCTGCGTGTAGGATGCTCTCGGCTGTGGTGCGTTTGTTTGACTGCGACATAGATGCGGTGCGAACGCGTCGCGCCCGTGGCGACTTCAATATGTTGGATCCTAATAAAAACAAATAATAATAATAGTTTATTTGACAAAATATGGTACAAACGATAAGACATACTCGACTGATAAAATAAACTTGCAAAATGTTTACATGTCATTATTTAAATTTTATAGTATACCAGCTATTTTTTGCCGACTCGTCCTTATTATAGCTAGTCCCGTAGGTAAAATCGGTCCAGTAAATAGTTTCGTAGCTTATTCGATGCAAACAAATAAACAATAAAAATATTTACAATTATCGGTCGGATCAATGTAGAAAATAAAATTTTATTTACATATAAAATTTAGATAAACTATTGTCTCCACGCGCAGAATTGTGGTATTTTAAAAGTACAACAGTTGTCAGTTTAGTATTTGGGTACCATTTTTTGGTTTCTGTTGGTACCCAAAGGGTAAACCGGGAACCTTATTACTGAGACGTTATAACAATAAATACAAAAAAATTGTTTAAAATAAATATATAAAGGAGGCTCCCATACGACAAACGCGAGATTTTGTTCGTTCGGTAAGGAACTCTTCGTTCGCGAGTCCGGCCCGCACTTGTCCGGTTTTTTTAGATAAAATTTGCGTACAATATCACATATGTTGCTCATATCCGAAATTAAGTAGCTAAAGCACTTATATTATGGAACGACGGTGGTACCAATACCTACGCCCCAGACAATACAGAGAAGTTCATTTTTTGACTATTCGACTCGATCGGGAGTGAACCAATTACTTTAGAGATGGCAACCTTGTAAATAGCGCGCAAGTCCCTCGGTCATGTAGGTCATCCATTACAAATGGCGAGAGCAATTAACCCATAACGAGGCTATCCGTAATAGAAAAGTCGTCTGGAACTATCTCAACGATTTCGTGATCGCCGGTGAATTACATCAGGCAGATAAGCCAGGCGTATTCTATTTCTCCGAAAACGAAACTACGTCTATTTTCGAATGCTTATACAACTCCGAATTCTAGTTCCGAGGACAAATAGAATAAATAGACCTTCAGAACTCATTATAATTTCATGGAGGTTGAGTTGTTTTGAACGTATAGTGTTTCATAATAGATAACGCCACCGCATTGAGCGCGACAAGGCGACTTTTCCGGTCAATGTGGTGATCATTTACAGTGATCGCATATCTATCAGAGCCGGAGGATGCGAAAGAAACATTTTTTTTTACACATTTCAAACTAGCGATATGTGACATTAGAATTCTGACGATTCGGCGTGTACAGTCAACAAAGAAGGCGGTCTACCAGCTAGATAAAAAAATCTGGTGAAATCCTAAGGTTGACTTTTGTAACGGAGTTTAGAGGCTCAATTATCATGTATTGTCTGTTATCTGAGATGCCTGACATTTCAATAATGTTCATCATCATCATTATCGCCAGGCTATCCCTACTGCTGGAATTCAGGCCTTCCCTAGGGATGTAAACGAATCAATCAAATCAAATAAGGAGAATGAGCCATGGGCCATGGACCCACCACGCAGACCTAGTGCGGATAGGTGGGCATTAACCACTGCAGATACATTCGGGAGCAACGGCTTATCGTGACTTCAGGAGCATGCAGGAGCTCGAGATAATATGCCAGCCATTGCGACAGTTTCTTAGCAACTGTATCGGAGACCGAATGAGCCAACCACTGCATCATCGAGCTCCTAAAGTAATACTCACTATCATAATATAACAGCAAGGGGAAATCGGCCTTGTTGTCTCGTGACGTTCCAATGAACCTCAACCGTAAAATGGTAGACCATATTTTTGGACGACTGTACTGTAAGTGTGGGATGGTTCATATGTTTCCATACAAAGAATTCTGTTTCTTATCTAAGCTCGGACTCATGTTTACGTCAAAACAGCTATAAAGTTATTGTTTTATTTCAATATTTCCGATTTAATTACGAAAGTCAAAGTGATAGTTATAAATTGATATATCGTCGCTCTTATGACGTTTTATCATCACGGGTTAAGCAGTTAACTTGTTTAATTAATTTTTATCAATTACTAGGTGACGATCTTATATCCGCATAATTTTTAGCACACGTCATCCGCGTATAAAGTAATTTAATGAAAACTGGAGATTATTTTGTCTCCTTTGATAACGTCAAATTTTACTTAAGTAATTAAATATATATGAAAGAACATCTTATATACTGCTCAGATTCCAAGAAGAGTAGCTAAAGCCCCCGTATTATGGAGTATCTGAGACAACGAAGGTACCACAACACCCAGACCCGAGACAATGGAGAAAAGTGCATTTTCTCTTTAGGCACTGCGGGATCGACGATGTAAGACCTGACGTAGTTTCCCAAACGCTGCCCAACCTAGCCGAACTCTTCCATTTCGAGAACGGCACCGCATACTGCAATCGGTTCCGGTAGTACGTGTTCGTTGAACATGACCTTGGTTTTATCCAAGTTCATCCGTAGGCCGATGCGCATAGAAGAGTCAGCCAGGTCATTCAGCATCTGTTGTAGGTCCTGCAGATTTTCTGCCATGATGACGATGTCGTCAGCAAATCTCAAGTGAGAGATGTACTCGCCATTGATGTTGATGCCACGTCCTTTCCAGTTCAGCGTCTTAAACATATCCTCCATTGCATTAGTAAACAATTTCGGAGACATAACGTCTCCTTGTCTCACTCCTCGATGCAACGGTATAGGACTTGTTGCTGATTCTGTACTTGGACGGTCATGGTGGCGGCCTCATAAATACATCTTATCACTTGGATGTATCGCCAATCGCTGCAGGGACTCCAGAACGGACCAGATCTCAATCGAGTCAAAGGCCTTCTCATAGTCCACAAATGCTAGACACAGGGGCTGATTATACTCTTCAGTCTTCTGTATAATCTGCCGCACTGTGTGGATGTGGTCTATGGTGCCGTATCCACTCCGAAACCCAGCCTGCTCCGGTGGTTGGAATTCGTCAAGTCTTTGCGCAAGACGGTTCGTGACTACTCTAGAAAACAGCTTATAGACGTGGCTTAGAAGGGAAATGGGTCGATAGTTCTTCAGCAGGGTTTTGTCTCCCTTTTTGAAGAACAGGACGACTACACTCCTACTCCACGCCTGCGGAGTTCTCCCTTCGAAGAGGACAGCATTAAAAAGCTTTTGGAGCTCGGCGAGAAGGCGCTTCGATTGTGCGAAACGCCATCTGTCACCTGCAGCTGTCATCTGTCAAGATCTATGGTGCTTTGCGAAACGTCAAGTTATGACATTGACGGCTGTCATCGCTTGGGAGTGGTCTATGCTTGTTCGAAGATGGCACTTTTTACGTTGTGCGGCCATATTGAGCGGACGCAAGCGCAGAACTCTCCGCGTTTCGTATTGCAATTCGTTTGCATCGAGTTATTATTAATGTACTCCGATTAGATAATTAAGTAATTCAACTAAATAACTGATTTGTGATCTATATGCGATCTTATTTCGAAGGAATATCTCGACCACTAGTCAGATTGCGGATGTTGACTAACCTAACTTTCCGCCGGCCCCGCATGACTTTCCGACATCAGAAGTGGGATGTAACCGACCAAGTGGACACACAGATATCATGGATATGGAGAATCGTATTGCAGTAACAAAATCAAAACTTTCTCGCCCTCATCTACGTCATGACTGGGCCGTTGTCGAGTCACATGTGTATCTGCCCGAATTCGATCCTGACAAAATACAAGAAGAATCACTTGAAGCCTTCGTAAGAAGAACAAAGCGTTCCTAATATGAAGAACAGAAACCTGAACGCTGCTGTCACGTTCTTCAATTGTGGAGCAGATGGTCACTACTCTCAAGATGCCTGTAGCCGAAGAAGATGCAACGGTGGCAAGCTTGATTGATACCCTTGCTAGTATTTTGCAGCATTTTGGTGAGTCGTTTTCATTTTGTTTTGATACTGGAGTCGAGTGCTCCCTTATAATGTAATTAATATCGCGAATAATTCATGGCAATCGAATTAGTAACACTATTAAAATAACTGGTATTGGTGATAGAAATGTTTATAGTATCGTGCAGATTTAAGTT